GGTTCAGGGCTTAGGGTTTAAAGGGTTTGGGGTTTAGGGCTTAGGGTTGCAAGCTTAAAGCAATGGCAGCTGCAGCTGCAGCAGCAGCTCGTGCTACACCTCGGAAGCCCTAGAAACCCTAAATCTCAACACCGCCCCCGCCGAATCCCTAAAGCCAAACCTCAGACTCGGCATGTTGTTGCACACTTCACGAATGTCTTTCAGCGAAGCCGAACCCCAAGTCGCATAGACGAAATCTTTAACACTACAGCCCAAGCCTAAACCATAAGCCCTCCAATACCCCAACCGTGATGCAAAAGATTTTCCTGCTGACACGGTGAGTCAGCTGCAATCGTAGCACACCGATCTGAGCTGATTTACCCGATCTGCTGGGTAAGTTTCAAGGCTTTAAATGTTTAGGGTTAGGGCTGAATAAATGTTGAGGGTTGTGGGTTTAGCGGCGCATCGCCACAGCAACTCAGCTTCGGTGGCACATCACCACAGCAACTCAGCATCGGAGCCAATCTCACCTGGCATACGTTTGTGTGTTTCAGGCTTCAGAGACAGGAGTGGGGTAAATCGGAGTTTGGAGTTTTGTTATGAGCCTTTAGGACCTTTAGGACTACATGTCGCATAGGATTGGTGAGATTTGGGATTTAACGGGTTCGGAGCTTTGAAAACCAGCGTTTACTAGGAAATAATGCAGAACGCATCGCCCTCGGACCTCATGCTCTCCTAAGGCCTGGACCTTGGGTCTTTCACAGGGCCTGCAAGCAACAAGGTAACATGTGAGGCCCTACAGTGAACCAACATGTATACGTCACGAAACTGCACGGTTTTCAAGAGGTGCAAGGTCTCAGGAAGCAACGCGCGGCTGCGAGAAATGCTGGACAGACTGCATGACGTGAGAGCAATCAATAACGCTGGAAAACGATTGGCCCCACGCCAATCTTGATGCTCACACAATCACAAAAGCTCTACTGTCACGGAGGCCCGACGCGGAGGCAGGCCTTCTGCAAATCGACAACCACGTCTAACTCTGCCTGAGCCTTGGTCTTTACCTCGTCATTGCTGTTTGCAATCACTTTCTCGAGCTCCTCCTTCTTCGCTTGCAGACACTGCTCAAGATTCGGGGTGGATGCCGAAGTGGTCAGCAAAGGGAGCCTCAAGCCTTGGGTAAGCTCTGTCACCTTTTCCCCGATGATAGCACCGAACGGCAGATACAAGAGATCCCCGGCACCCAAAGTCACCGCCCACAAAGAGCATTCCTTCACATACTCCTGAATCATGTCCGGGTTCATGCTCCGGAAGAACGCTGCCTGGCGAGGTACCGGGATGGGCTGTGGCACACCTTTGCGTTCCATGAAGCGCTGAAGCTGCAACGACGAAGTTGCAATCACAGACCTCGTGCCTTTGAATGTCAAGCGAACGCCGGCCAGGTGGCATGACTCGCAGGTCACTTTGTCGTAGTTCACATCAATGCCAAACATGGACTGGACCAACTGCTTCTTCAATGAAACACCTGCCGAATCACCCGACACCAAGGCTTTGGTCTCCTTGAGAAGATCGAACACCTGGCCTTGCAGGTTCCATGCCTGCGTGGTCGCATCGTCCTCCACCACCTTGGAGGCACGCAGCGCACTCCTCTGCGTGCGGGCAATGTCAAAGCTTGCAGCGAAGCCATCGAGCTGGCTCTTGATTGATGCCACTGCTTTGGCCACCCAATCGTTGGCCTGAACAACAAACGGCACGTCAAATGACATGTCAGTCTTCTTGGACACCTCATCCATCGACAAGCGTTGCACCTGCGTTGCTGCCGCCACTCCCTGATCAAAGATCGCCAAGCGACCAGCATCTGCACTGTCCTTGCCCTTCTTCGTCTGAGCGGCGGCTTGCTGCAGCAGCTTTTTCTTCAGCTGATCTTTGGCCGCTTTGATGGAGCGTTCGGCCTTTGTCGCAGCCTGCAACAGCTGCTGAAGCGGAGCCTTGATGTCATTGATCTCGTTCGTCACGTCCTCCAGGGAGAGCTCTATCAGTATCACCGGCTCCACAGCAGCAGCGGCAGCAAAAGAAGCAATAACATAATAACAACCGCGACAAAACTCTCTAACACTCTCTCTCCCTCTCTGTCTCTCTGTCTCTGTCCCTCCGCATTTGGTACATGCCAAGAGAAGGGGGGGGGTGGGGGGGGGGGGCGCGCGCATGATTTTTTGGCACCCTCTTCCTGGGACCCTTCCCCATAAGGAATGTACGTTCAGGACCGGGAAGGTTCACCCCTATGCGAGCCTGGTTGCAGGACATGGACCTTGGGCGTCTCTCTCTCCGTTGGCCCGCCGTTCGAGTATACGTAAGCTATGAGCAGCTATGAGTGATGTCTCCTTGATGTGCTGCTTCTGCGTGCACTTGTGGTACTTCTCCACCGCGGCCTTGAGTTCTGTGACAGGCTGCAGCCTGGCATAAAGCTCACATGGAGGGCATGAGCCAAGCTTCACCGGCGCTGATGCCAAAGACCCATCACCCTGCTCCAGGTTCTCGCTGAACCTGGCGATGTAGTTCTTGATGGCATGCGGGTCCTTATCCTGAAAGCACAGCCTGATGCCCTCAAGCCGGGTCTTCAGCATCAGCATCTCGCCTTCGAAATGCTTCCTTTCAGACTCGGCCAAGTCGTCGACAAGCTCCTTGGAACTTTGCAGCTGCTTCGAAAGCTGCTCCAAGGCCTTGGCTTCAAACTGATCCAGCTCAGCCGTCTTGGCACGCACACTGGAACTTACCGCCTTGTCTCTCTCGACCCACACCTTCTCCTTCTCCTCCGGCGACTTGGACTTGTCGACAGCCTTGTCCGTGCTCTGATCACCCTCATTCTCCGTCTCGTCCTCGTCCATGCCATCGGGCAGCAGGTCGAGCACGTCAAGAATGAAACCGGAGGCCCCTGCAAAGGTGTTGTCATTGCGAGACATGGCCACAGCAACCTCCTCAAAATCCATACCCTGGCTATGATTCCTGAGCAGCTCTGGCCTGAGACGGTCAACGTCGTCGTTCGTGGCCTTCTTCTTGGTATCACCTTCGCAGACGATTTCCTTGGACTTCATGTAACTGCTGCGCTCGATGATCAAGTCCTGTGTCTTGACCCACACCCGTGGCTTTCCATCCGGGCCACCGTGGTCGTAGCGGACGGTTTTGTCCCTTCTCTTGATGGCATCCATCCAATCAAGCCACTGCTTGGCAGCCTCTTCCTCCCGAAGCTTGCCCCCACGAGCGGTCTGCGCGTGCTCAATCCAGAGCTTCTCCCACATCATCTCGCCCAAAGCATCCTTGATGATGCCCGAAGCCGCCGTGACACGCTCTTGGTACTTCACCAAAGACCACTGCCCCCGCTTGCGGCCAAGCATTGGACCTCCGTCTTCGGTGGCCTCAGGGCAGAGCTCATGATAACTCGCGAGCATGGCCTGCAACTTCTCATCGTCGGCGCGGGCCTCCTGGACGAAGAGCCTGGCCTTTTCCCCCTGGCGGGAAGCTTGCTTGGCGATGTTATCTAGTGCACGTTTACACCTGACGCACCCCGGCCAATTACTGGCTGCTTCGCCAGGCTCCAGCTTGGCCTTGCAGCCCCTGCACTTCTTCACCAGACTGCGCCTCACCGCCTTTTTGGGCAGCGGCTTGGCCTTGGCTTTTGCATGGCCACGGCCAAGTTTGCCGTGCAAACCTGGACCCTTATCCTTTTCGGAACTGTTTGGACACGCTCCGCGACCCTTCTTCCTGGGCGGCGTATGAGGATCATCGTCGTCCTCCTCACCCTGATGCCTGTCCCAGTCATCATCAAGGCTGTCTTTGAGGAGTTGGGACGCTGCATCCTCAGCCATGCCTGCGATCACCTAAGGCACTCCGCAGGAGGGCTCACGGGCAAGGACTTTGGCCTTCCACGAGAAAGATCTCCAAGCAAACGATGCAACTCTCTTTTTGCAGCAAAACAGTGCAGAAGTATACGTGCACTCACACACGCACACATAAACAAGAAAGCAACTGCTCGCCCCAACATCGCCCTGCTTTCCCCGCAACTGCCCGAACAGCCGCATCGCATTCTCAGCTCATCAGAACCCAATGTTTGGTCACTCATGCACAACCCACCTCAAGACTGCATGGGACCGCCAATGGGACCTGGCTACTGCATGCACCTGCACTTTTGCGCAAGTTCCTTTCAGTGCTGTCGGAATCAAAATTGCAAGCTGTCTGTCGCTGCTGCCTTTCGGCCGAACATCACGCACAGCGCTTCTGACTGTGATGATCCACTGACATCATGTCTCCTTGTTGTCGTCGACTGTCGTTGGGGTTGGTCCCGCAGCGTGCATCTTTGTGGTCATCAGTACGTATGCAAACACGAGCCCAAACAGCCGGCAGTGCACGCTGTTGCCGAGCATGGCTTTCATGGCCCGATCTCCCAGCTTCTGCAGAACTTCATCCGGGAATGGGAATTGATGCCCTGCACTGCTCATCTCAGGCACTGGCCACCCAAACGCGAGGAACAACTCACGCAAGAGCATCTCGCGACGCAATTGGCAAGACCAGATCCTGGAACCTCGAAGGATTGACGGGACTGTCGCTGACATGGTTTTCCGCACACTCACATTCTGGGAAAGATCCAACACCGGAAGCAAGCTCTCAGACCCCCAGTTTTGCTTTCTCATCTCCTCCTCATACATGAGCAACCGTGCCCTCGCACCCTCCGGCAAAACCTTGAATCCTGCGTCAGCCTCACCAGCTGCAAGCGTGACGCTGTAAGCGCGAGCCTGAGCTTCCAAAGCGCACAGAACATCTTTCTCGGGAGCACAAAAGAAATCATGCCCGGAGGTCTCGGTCATGCTGCCAGCCACAGCCCCGAAAGAGTCAGCTGTAAAGGCCTGCAGTAGCGAGAACCTGCCCGTGTTGATTGTCCATGTGATGTTGCGAGGACGCCGCATAGGAACTCCCACGGAAGTTGGGCAAAGCTGCACACAGCTAGTTTGCCACCCAGCACATGGCTTGAAAACGGTCTCGAAGCACTCCAAGCTGTTAAAGCAATGGCTGCACTCCTGCAGCATCCAATCCACGCCAGAGTGCTCGGCCCTTGCCAGCCACAGAGCTGCTGGCACAGCAGAGTCGTGCAACCATTTTTCTCGGTTCCCTTGAGGGGAAAAGGCAACACATGTGTTGCCACCCAGCTCACAGTGTACGTCGGCGGGTGCTCTGGGTGGAAGGTAGGGGCACTCTTTCTTGCATGCCCAACAATACCCTGTCTCCCTCATCTGCCCTTCTCTGCAGGCTGCCTTAGCGATCTGGATCAACTTTGACATACAGCGAGCGCTTAGCTGTTCGATGCCGGCTGCGAGCCTGCGCTTCTCAGCCAGCGTTTCTGTCGCTTCCTCGCGCATGGTTTTGGCTCGCTGCCTCAACGTGCTGACCACAAACTTCATCTTTGCCACAACACATGGTTCACACTGATCACATATGTCGCCAAACAAATGCATCGGCCGAAACTTCTCGGAGCTCAAAATGAGCTCCCTGCAAGCCGGGCTCGTCTCAAATCCCGACCAATGAACAATTGGACCGCAACGGCTTGCCTGAGGCTCTGGGCCTGAGTTGAGTCTCTGCCAATCCGACTGGGGCAAGACGCTTTCTGCAAGCCGAGCAAGTACGTGCTCGAAAGTGCACATGCCGGAGTAGGCTGACGTGAGCCATATCCTTCGGTTCAGATTCTCACGAAGCTGCGACTGCAAACCGGTTCTGGCTACCCATATACTTTCAATGTCTGCGATCTGCTCAGGCCACTGAAGAAGATCTGCCACTCCTCCCGCGAGGTCGGCACCAAACTCCTGTGTGCTGAGCCTCTCCACACGTGCTTTCTTCAGAACCTGCCCTGCAGACTCGACTTGCTTTGCGTGCGAAGACATGGCTCTGCAGCGGTCTACGACAGTCTACAACATGTCACGCAAAAATAACTACTACTGCAAGGCATGACTGGACCCATGATCCATGTTGCTGGGCCTGCTTGGGAATGCTTTTGGGGCTTTGATGATTCTCCGAAACTGCAAAAAGCACAGCTCCTGCTCAGACACGTGAACATGCACCCTTCATGGAAAAAGTCCGAGGCAGCGGGGCCAAACCTTTGTGTTCTGCTCTAGACTGGACCGTTCGGGCCGAGACGGAGCCCGACGGAGCACTTTCTCTCGCAACGGGCTAACTCCAGTTTCAATCTGCTGCAAACACGCAAAACTGGTCAGACTGGCACAACACTCAACACAAAGTCCCAAAAATCCCAAAAGGCACGCTAAAGGGGCATCCTGGGCTTGGCTCAAGGCAACCGTCGCGCAAGTGTCGCGCAAGCGTCGCGCAGTGTCGCGCGCATGGATCCTGGCCCAGGGGAGCCCAAAAATGTCAGAAATGGAGTCGCGCACCTACCATTCTGGGGCCCCAATCGGTCGCGCACACCAGATACGGCCACAACCAAACAACCGGGGGCAGTTCGCGCAAGCGTCGCGCAAGCGTCGCGCAAGCGTCGCGCACCGTCGCGCACTCCTCCACACCCCCTCCCAGCACGCTTTTCTATAGGACTCCGACAGAAGAATGGACCTCCTGCTTCAGAAAGACACAAGAGCAGCCCCAACAGCCAAAAACACTTTGACCGGAGCTAAAACACGCAACTGCCTCCAATGTGACATGCCAGGCAGTCCCTTGGGCCGAATCACCGCCATCACGAGGAGAAGCTCAACCTGGCCATCTCTCCCAGTATGTTTGCTGCTGTGCTGAGCACACACTGCCGCGTCGAGCTGTTCACGCTCCCGAGAGCTGGGCATCTGGCCGAGTGGACCAAGAAACACCATCTCCACTGCCAGAGTCCTGCCACGCACTGTCGATTGAATATTCAGTTGCACATACCTGGGAAAACCCACTCGAGTCATTCAACATGTCGCTGAGAGATGCAGCTTCCTTGATGCCTTAACACTTCAGACTTGGCCAGAAACTGCCCAACAAAAGCAGTGCGCACTGTCCTTGGAAACACCACACTGGTCCATCTCGACGACAAAGTCCACCGCCGCCTGTCCGCCCGTGCACCGAGATTTGTAGTGCGGTATACCATAGCACACACTCGAACAGAGGCCCTATAAGACACTTCACGCATGTGTGCGTCAGTCGTGCAGCAGTCAAATGCAATGCTCTTTCTCTCTCTCGATCTCTCTCCCTCTCTCTGTCCCTCCGCAGTGGAGGATTTAGGGGGCCGTACACACCAAACAAGGGGCGGGGGCTCATCTTTCACGTGCAAACAAAGGTGCCTCCACGACAAAGATGCAGCCACGACGTGGCCGCAAACTGCTCCCAAAGGCCTGCCAAGGACAGGACAGGACAGGACAGAGGACATCAACTTGGTGCCACTAGACTGCAGACTGCATCCCACAAACATAGAGCAACGGCCAGCTGCCACAGACATTAGCATATACTGCGGGGGCCTGTTCAGCTGCTGGAAGAAGAGCTCGATGAGGATGAAGATGATGAAGACTGGGAACCTGCCGCTCTCGCATCCGAATCGTCGGAACCGGACTCGGGGTCACTGGCGGCTTCGTCTGCTGGAGATTCCACGTCAGCACCCGGAGGCTTCGCCTTTGCCTGCGCCTTTTGTTTTGCTGAGCCTGCTGCTTTGGCTCCTGCGGCACGAGCCTTGGGCCTACCTGCGGCTGCAGCCTTGGGTGCTGCAGAAGAGGAAGCAGCCTCTGCATCAAGCTGCACATCATTGCGGATCGCTTCAGTAGGTCCATGCTCAAGCTTCTGCTGTGCAACAACAGCTGCAGCTGGGGTGTCTACTTCTCGAACAGACATCCGGATGTGCTTCCGCTGGCGGTCAAAACGTTGGGCTTGATTAGCCCAATGACGTAGGCGATTTAGCACGTTCTCTTCATCTGATTCATGTGGACCAGACAAGCTCAAAAACTTTTTGCAGCCACTCCTATCATTCAAGCAGTGGAAAGGGCAAACGATTTGGACTCCCCCAAATGGTGGAGATGACTCAGCACTTTTCCTATGCAAGGTGAAAGGGCCCCAGGGTGCCAATCGCGGTTTTGGGGGGGGACGGGCTGATGATTTCTTGTCTCTTCGTGCTGGGGGAATGGCCTGGTCTGCTGCTGCATCTGGGCCTGGAAGTGCCACTACTTCATCCCTAGGAGGCTCAGGAGGCTCAGCAAGAATGCCGGTGTCTGCAGCAGGCTCAGCAGAAAGATGTCCGGCTGAGCTCGCTGAAGGAACAAATGCAGGTGCACTGGCTTCCGCACGGTCACTGTCTCGGTCTGCTACGACCTCTGCATCAATCAAGGCTTCGAGTTCTGCGATAAGCTCGTCGTCATCGACACCGTCGTCAGCATCAACATCCTGCCCCCCTATGTCGCCCTCAACCGCTTCAACCTCAAAAGAAACCGCACCGACCCCACCCCCGTCATCCCTCTGCTCTCCTACAACTTCTGCGGGCGCGATTGCAAGCCTTCTCCTAGCTCGGTGCCTTGCATCAGACTCAACATTCTCGGCCTCGTCTGCTTCCAAAGTCAGAGAAGCTCGCTTCCGGCCCTTGCGAGGCCGATCTAGCAATGCCTGCAATGCTGCCTGTGGCTGCATACCCGTCAGAATGGATTCATAGGCTTCTGCAGGAAGCGCATGAGGAATGGACTGAATGTCATGCTGTTCTTTCAAGTTCTCAGCAGTTAGCAGGCAAAGCAAATACGATTTGTTGACAGACACTCCAGCCGTGTACCACTGTAAAGGGCCTCCCAAAGAGTACTTTAGCTCACGGCGCTTCTCTGCCTTCGAAGGAAGCAAAGACCATTCCCATCCCTGAGATTTCATGATTGCCAAAAGCTCCATCACATCTAGCTCCAACAGAGGCAACGACCGGGCTTGGTTTAAAGGCTGTGGGGAATCAAGGCTGTGTCGAAAGCGCAAGCTCGCAACACCATCGGCTGTTAAACGCGCCCCGAAGCCAGTCTCCTCTGCAAAACCTTCCTCAACCAAGGCCTGCAAAGCCAACTCTTCACTGCTACCTCGGACTGGCACGACACCGAAGTTGCACCCTGCCAAAGCATTGCTTTCAACCATGCGCTGAAGCAGCTGACAAATGTCAGCCGGGGACACACCTTCAACTTCAATGCCTGGCAACGCTAGCTGCACATTCCCTGGCCTGCGCCACAGTTGCACTTTGGCAAGGAAAGCATCTAGACCCAGTCTGTTGACATGCTCGCACAGATTGAGGACCTCTCCTCCAGGGCCATCTGGTAGGGCTGAGACCTGAGGGGCCTCTGCGCTTCCAAAGTTGTCTAGCTTGGTAACCAAAATATCATGCTTGCCCATGGTCGCAATTGTGCAAGGAGCATGTGAGGGCTGATGAATGGCCGAAGGGCGGAGAATCAGGGGGGTGTAAAACCGATCTTCGATGGACAGCACAGCACTCGAATCCTGCGTGCAAGATGAGCGAACGTATGCGATTCCTGCCTGCGCATACAGCAAAGCCTGTGAAAGTTTTGGCTCTTTAGGCACAAATGCCTGCTTAGCCCGATCCAGAAGTTTCTTCTGCGAATTGTGCCACTGCACGGACTCTCGAAGGTCGCCATGCTGCACAGTTGCATCGCGATACAATATCGATCGCAAGACCTTCAAATGAGCACTGCTGGGTGCCCTGCGACGCTGGCGTGCCAATGCCTGGAAAGCCGGGTGGGCTTTGAAGCAGGGAAAAACATCACTGAAGCGCCTCACTTTGCGAGCAATCACAAACTGCTCTAACAGGGTTGCAAAAGAATCTGGCTTCAAGGACAGGCTACGGTTGAGTTCTGGCGCTCTGAGCTGAATGGAAAGAGCGGTCATGCTGTGCCGCTTCGGGAGCGTGCCTAGGTCCTTGTGCGCTCCTTCTATGATACGCTCAGCAATCTGCACAAAGGTCAGGGGTGCCAAGTAGTCTTCCAATCTCGGACAAGCACTCAAAGGCTCGGCTTCTGAAACGAACCGCTGCAAATCATCCCGGAGGGGGCCTGGGGAGAACAACTCCTGGGCCATGACATGCTGCAGGCTTCGGGCATCCTCTGGCAAGTCGTGCCACAAGGACTGGGCTTCCTGCAAACATTTTCTTGCCTTCACAGGATCTGCATGGGTGCCACCAAGAATGATCCAAGGCAGGGATTGATAGAAACCCAAACGGATTTTCAAGTTTTCGCAAACAAACGCGGCAGCCTTACCCCACTCTTGCTTCAGTCGTCCCCAGGCATCCACAGACAAAGGATTTTGCAAGGCCGATGCAAAGTCAGCGAAACGTAAAGAGAAAACGGACTCAGCAAAGTGCACCAGCTGGCCTGCAGCCATGTCTGCAGCTCTACACCCCATGAGTGGGCAACGGCATGCTACTTCTCTGGGGCAGGAGATTTCGAGGCGCAGCTGAGTTTGCTGCCTGTGAGGGGGCACGCCGGACAACAAATTGCTGTGACAAGGGCATCCTTCAACCCAACGCAGCAAGCTCCGAACTACACCTCGAAGTTGCAACTGCATGTGCCAGTATGCGCAAAAGTATTCATCCTCCAACAGTTCTGTGATGCCCCTACACGAAAACTCGTCACCCTCCACAGCATCTCCCTGCAGACCACGAGAGTAAGCAACTGGGTCCCAGTGCTGCCTCAAAAAAACAAGAATGGGAAGCCCATCACTCAAATAACCGGCTAGTTCTCCCCACCGCTCTTTGTGTAAAGTGCTACTAAACGACCCAAGAACTTTCTGCCCTGCTTCGTACAGGGGTGTGCCAGTAAGGACAACTTGCACAAAACGCTCCCGCCGCCTTTTGTTCCCTATCAATGCATCAAGCTTTTTCAAGGAAGTAAAAAACCACTCAAACTCACTGAGGGCATCATCAAGGTTCAAGCAGGCATTGTGAATGGCATGGCATGCTCCGGGCACTTGAATGGCTCTGGGCATGAAGTTGTGATTTTCAGGTCGCCCTGGCTGGGGTTCTAGACCTAGGCTCTCATCAACAAACCCATCATCATCAGCCTCTGCCACTTGCAACCGCAACGGGCGGATAAATGCAGGCAGCGTGCTTTCCGCACACTTGACTTGGCATTCTGGCAATCCGATCTCGACACCCATATCACTGCACCACCCTACACAGGACCCTAAGTACCCTTCCAATGCCTCTAAATCCCCACACTCAAGCAAAGCCGAAAGCACGTGCGCCCCAACTTTGTCTACGAGCTGCGTGCGGCCCTGCCCCAATAGCTGAGGAACTTGCGTGTGCATTTCTATGCGATCGAAGAGGGACTGCGATCGAATTGCTCGCTGCTTGTGTTTCTCTGCATCCTCGGGCACTTCATCCCCATCCTCTGCCTCCTTAGTTTTGTCTGCCTGGTTCACACAAAGCCACTTGAAAGACCTGGCAAGTTCCACTGCGTCAGCTGCTGCAAGAAAGCGGTAACGGACATTGTAGATATCTTTGTGCCCTTTCGAAGTACTGTCGCCCCAAATGTACCTATGCACTGGCCCAAGCCTGGAAAGCTTTGACCGCTGGAACAACAACATGGCAATATCAAGCATCACTCTACCATCTGCAAGACTTGAAGAGGAAGCAAAATGCTCCCGCACCCAAGCTTCTGCACCTGGTCTAACTCCTGCTGGCAAACTCTGCAGAAAGCACAGAGCGTGGCTCTTCAGCTGTCCCCGATTTCTAAGGTCCAAGCTTGCCAGTATCTGTCTCAAGAAGGAATCACGCGAAGCAACAGAGGCAAATTTTCTGGCTGCATCATCGGGAACAGCGCACAAAGACGTCTTGTGCCTTGTAATGTCAACAATGCATCGCAAAGCTTCAGAGCGGATGCCCTCGACACGATCGGACTCTGGATCTGTTGCAATGATATCGGAAAGCATTGACCGCATGACGGCTACACACCTTTCTGCTGCACTAGCATCGAGGCAAGCTGGTGGGAATTTCTGGGACGGCGCTGCCCCTTTACGCTCCACAAGCCAATCCTCCGACAAACCCTGGCACAAAACAGGAAACTCGGGGTGGACCCAACGTGCTAAAAACACAAGGTTACTCAAACGGTTGCCGAAGACCAATTGCCCCAGCGCTGGCGGCAGGAAAACGCAAGGGACTGCTTTCAGGGCCGCCTGCACCTCTTCAGGAACTACGGATTGCAGTGCCCTAAAGCCATCGCTCGGTGAACTGCCTGCAGGATGCATGGACAGCGAGAACAGCGCGCGGTCATCGCTGCCGCTGTCTTCCCCCAATCTCCAAGATTCAATCTTCACAAGACCGGCAGCAAGTCTCGGATGCACTGTCACGCCGCTTGTCCGGGCTTTGTTTGCCCTGTGCTCAACCCTTGCTCTTTTCTGAACTTCTGGCATGATTTCCCACGGAGGAAAGAAGAAAGCTTGGTGAACTTTTACAGCAAAAGCATCCCGAGCTCCCTGGAGGAAAGACTCCCGAATAAAATGCTGTTCTTCTGTCCAGCCGGGCGTGCAAAGATCTTCAAACTGCTTGCCTGCACTTACACAAATAAGACCGCGCAACAGCCCAACGGGATCACGACCGCGCACATGCTCTGGAATGTGTGAAACGTCCAGGCTGCGAAGTCTGGCCAACACTGACTGTGGAATGCTCGAAGGCAGCACAGTTCTGCCTCTATGCTTCTCGAATCCCACCCAGAGCCATTGCTTCCCCTGCCCCTGCATACATGAGAAAAAAGACAACCTTTGAACTATGCTCACAACCAGCTAGTGTTGCTATGTTCTCACGCCCTTGATCCTAGCTGTGCCTCCTATGCCCCTCCTGTCTTTAGTCTTCATACGCGGAGGCAAGAATACATGAATCTACTGCCACATTCGTTTGCCTTTCTTACGGCTCTACTTTGAGGAGCAGCTTGCGCAACACGATGATGCCTTCGTAAACACCACAAGGATGTCAAACATCCAACTCTCCTTCAACGAAAACCCTTAAAATCCGACCCAATTCCTTTCGAAGCGTTGTCTTGCTGACGTTGCCCTCTCGTGTTCCGGCCTGGAAAAAGCATTTATGGGCGCTCAGAATATGCAGCAACCGCCCAAGCCCCAGCACTTTGGCCTGAATCTCACCAAAACATTGCCAGCCGACGTGCTAAGAAAAACGAAGATGGCGACAAAAAACAAATGCATGCAACTCCCCAGCCAAACACTAAAATGTGGGTTGAAATGACTTTCACCAAACTTATTCGGCCGGTGTCCTCTCCACACACAGCACAGATTTGGTCAAAGTATGCTAAACATTCAACAACGTTGCGACGTTGAAACGCGACCGAACACTGCTGGATTGCGCAAGCCATGCTTAGAGGCCAGTCTATGTCATGCTTCGCGAGGCGAGCATTATTTTCCAGGAAGTGGAAATGCAACTTCACTGTTTCAATGGTTTTGTCCCCCTAAGAATACCAAACTCAAAAAGATCCGTGAGTTTCGGCGAAAATCCTGAAAACGCTTTGCCGTAGATGCACTAGTCTGCTAGTGTAATCAGCAGCACACATGTTCCTGCTATTGGTATCTGGAGGGGGCGTCCCAGCAAGAAATGTCGGATTTAATAGGTGCAACAGCACACAAGCTGCCGGTCCAACAGCACACGAGCTGCCGGTCCAACAGCACCTCAGCAGCTTAAGAGCTGCCGGTCCAACAGCTCCGGAGCTGCCTCCGTCCAACAGACTCGCGCGCGCAAGCGCGCGCCGCTTCCAAACAGCTCAGGAGTGCGGCGCAGCACTCCCAAATGGCTCGTGAGCTCCGCGCGGGTCCTCAGGGTGCCTTTGAAG